CTCCTGGAGGATGAAGGAAGTCGCCAGGAAGGCATCGCTCCGTGTTTAGTCTATCCCTTCTCTCCTCTCCGCAGGCCTTCGCACTGAGCGCTGCTGTGGCCTGTTGCAGGCAGCTGCCCAACTAGCTCACACGCCTCCAGTGCAAGTACGAGACTAAATGGGACCTGGCTATAAAGGCCAGGAAAGTTTGGTTGTCTGCTCTCAAGATGGCCCCTGCTTGCAGAGCATCCAACTTACCTTAACGACTGCAATATTCAGTTAAAGGCAGGCAGCGTTTAGATGTTTTAAGGGGAAGCATGGAATCAATTTATTTCTGAATACCCACAGGATGACTGGGGGCACCAAAAGCAAAGCTACACAACAATAACTGTGGTTAATACTTCAGCCTGTCCCTTAATGATGCATCCACTCTGCCTCAGATCCCAGTGTTTCCCTAAACAATATTTTACATGCTTGTTTTACTGGTGGAATTTGTCAAGCCAGTCAAGGCGGAATTGTAGAAAATTAGTACTTACCTGGGTTACAATGCCTGGGTCAGATCAAACCATTACATGTCATCACTACATGCAGAAAGAGATGCGAGGTGACAACAGTGAAGCCTCAGGTCCAGCTTGCTGGCCTGGACCTTTCTGCCTGGCTCTGCCAAGCAGCTCTGATTTCACAAGCACAAAAGCCAGCTTGTCCCCGTACCAACACATCACTTATCTGTTTTCTCTAGTAAGTCATCACCTCAGCTCAATTAGCCTCCAAGAAACACTGTTAATGGTTAAAAAAAAAAAAGGCTCTGTATGACACACATCTATGGTAAAGATGTGGCTTTTCCTGCCCTTGCAGGGATGGTTCAGATTTGGGTTTTCTGCTCCCAGGAAGCAGCGAGAGGGCAGGGACCAGCCACAGCCAACCCACGCTCATGCTGCAAGTTCTCTGCTGCTCCCCTCCAACGATAAAAAAAACAGCACTTGCTCTGTATCTCTATAACTGAGAAGGTGCAAATTGTTTGTTTACCACGTATCACTTCGCACATAGTTGGCCTAAGTTCATTCTCTCAGCTCTTTCATTCTACAAGGTCACTTTTGAAGTGGTTTTCGTCTTTCAGCCCTTTGAAATTTTGCACAAGACCAACCAAGATATATTATTTTGGTTAGAAAATACTTTGGGTGGGTCACCTGCTCTCTTCCTTTGGCTAATGGAAGCTATGCGCAGGACATGAAAAAAACCTGAATTAAAAAAAATTAAAAAGGCACAGAAAGCACACACACACATTGCCCATGACCTCTGGTTAACAGTGTTGATTTTTTTGTCCTGGTCTCTCTGCATTTTGTTTTAAGAGAGGTTTTCTGAGAAGTGTTTTTTTTAAAAAAATATATAGATATATTTTTTTTTATTAGTGTAAATGACATATTTCAAAGGCTGGACAAGAGCATCTTTTGGCTGACAATTGAACCAAACACTAAATGAAATCCGCAAAGCAATTTTTCCCAAGCACAGTCAAAAGCTGACAGGGATGCACAGGGTGCTTAAAAGAAAAAAGGAAAAAAAAAAAAAAAAAAAAAAAGGAAGCTGAGGGAGAAAGTGTAAAACAGTCATCCTGCATCAGCTCCAAGCTGCTCTAATGGAATTAGGGTCACCCTGACAGAAACACAGTCAGATCACAGAGAAAATTTAATAATTTCTTACTGCAGTCTGTAAAAGCAGAGAAGGATTTGGAAGTGCTTTCTACCAAATCAGCACGTCAGTAGAGCACCCTACTCACGCACATGCAGCCCTGTGACACCCCGATGGGGCCTGTGGGGACACCGAGACGGCCCCACGCACAGACAGGGCCCTGAATGGCCCTGCTTTGGGGACACAGCTTCTCCTCCGGCTGCCCCTTTGCGCCGAGGCTGCTCGCGGCGCCCACGCTCGCGTCCGAGCAGCGCCCGCTGGGCCACGCGGACGCAACCGGCTTCCTCTCGCGCGCTCGCGTGTAGCCATCAGCCAGCTGCCTAATTGTCAGCAAGCGGCGGCAGCAACACTGAGATCTGCTGTAACAACAACGCTACAAAACACACACCGAGGCGGTAGGGAAGGCCAGGCCCGTGCCGCCGCGGTCGGCCGCCACACATGGTGCTGCTGAAGCACCACGGCTCCCTCTGTGCCCTCCATCCTCACCGTCTGATACGGAGCCATTGTGCGGAGCGACAAGGAGTTCAGACGGGGTGATCCTGCTCCCTCTGCTGCACTGCTTCGCCAGGGAGAAATGCGAGAGGGCAAAAAGCCACCAGCCCTACACGGGCATCAAGCAGCTGCACCAGGGTAAGGAAGAACCAGAGGGAAACCCCGAAATCACAAACGGAAGCGCAAACCACACTACGCTAGGGACCAACTAAACAAATGCACGGTCTTTGAGGCTAACACGATGCTTAGAGGACAAAGAAATAAGAGAGTGCACATAGAGTGCTGCTTGTTGCTTCTGCAGTATGTTCTGGCACCTCACCCTTCCTCACGTGAGCCTAGACCCCACAACGGCCTCGATATTCACCATCACATCTCAGCATGTGCATCACTGACAGCAGCACAGCAAACACGCAGGGTTTTGGGAGGATATTTTCTATTTTTAAAACAGAAAAAAAGTGTTTCTGCCTCTAGGATATTCATCCCTTTTCCTGAAATCTTATTGGTCTGGTTTCCCAGAACTGCTGAGAAGAGGAAGAACAAAAGTAACCTTCCATGGTCTTGCCACTGGAAATACAGACATTTCCCCTCCCTTCCAGTTCTTAAATGCAGAGATGATTCTGCCACTTAGACTCAGTGGGGCAAGGTAACAGAAAAGCTCCAAGTTACTTAATGTATAGAGAAACACCTTCCATCCTAGGAAGTCCTTGGTCAATCCAGGGTGGCTGTGGCTGTTAGAACATCCTTCTCCTGCAGATCTGTCTTCTAGATTAGGAAAACATCCCTGCAAGTCTCTCTCAGCCAGAGGAGAGGCATACATACAGATTTGTTTGCTTCTCAAGAGAGAAACTGTTGCACTTCTTAGATACCAATATTTGGATCTGGGCCTGTGAAAGAGCGCCAACTTTGTTAAATCCAGCATGTGGAATTACTCCACAAAATTAGCAAACCATATCTCCTGCAGATCATGCTTAGGCCACAAACCATCCTGGGACATCTGAAACTTCATCAGTTTTTGTACACCTGATAGAATGCTTCTGTCCTTTGACTAGGATAAAGATAATAAAGCCATGAAAATTCTTCCATACCTCGGAATGTGATACATACATATGGCTTATTGTGCCAGACTACAAAATGAGCCAGAATCCGTAGGTACAGAATAAACTAAATAAGCATCTTCCAACAGCATCAGCAGTCAAGAGACAAAGCTGGAGGAGGAGGCTGCTGCAGAAGGATGGCTACCCCCAGTTTAACTGGCATCCCTGAGACTTTTACAGGTTGCATCTGCTATCCATGCAAACCACCATGAGTGGTGACAAGAACAGTGCAGTTTTTAACCTTCCTTCATATTCCTGCTCCAGCTTCTCTAAACCTACTCCTCCCCATCAACCAAGGACATTTAGGCCTCTCAGTTTGTCTTCTCCCTTTGGCCAGGCTTTTCCCAACTGCTATCAAGTTCTCCTTCAACATTCACAAAATCACAGCTTCATTCCAAGCCTGGTGACCAACGGCAGCTGAAGGAGAAGCAGGTGGTCAGTGGCAGCACAGGAGGCACATCACAGTCACCTCTGGTCTGGCTGAGGTGCCTCAGGAGCCCTGGGCACTTCCAGAGGCACTGAGTACTCACAACTGCCAAACATCATCAACAAATGTGCGAAAGTTTGGCCTACTCTGAAAAATACATCCTCTAAAACTCTACTATATTAATACATAGAAATATTCAATGATGGCCAGATATGTGCAGCTAAAACCTGTGTGTGAGGGGCTGCCCCGCTGAGCTGGTGGCAGAGGGCAGCAGTAAAGATCGATGTCCTAAGGACACACTTTCCACCCCCAAAATTGCTCCACTTGTCGCTGTGGCAAGGAACTGCCGGCAGCTGGAAGCTGCACGACAAGAATGTTTGGTAGAGAAGGAAACCCCACTTGAAATACAAGCAGGCAAACAGGAGGACATCAGGAACATGTTGTGGGGTGGGAGATGTGGAGGGAGGGAACAAGCCAGATTCTGATTTAGAAAGAAAAAAAAAAAAAAAAGGGAGAAAAGGGGAGATGTCTTTGCATAGGACTGCACAAAGAACTTGGGATAGCCTAGCAAATGCATGCCATGAGTCATGACCACACAGTGAACCTGCAAGGCTCCCAGCGCTCTGCAAAACGCTCCAGCTTCAAGGCATTTTCACTAGCCCACCATTAGCCCAGCTTCTCCTCTTGTCTCTCCACAACGGCCTTTTGTGCACAGCCTTCTTATTTCTCCCCTCCATAGAGCTCATCAAAGTAGACATAGCGGCTCCGCAAGACTATCAGAACAACAGAGGTGCATACCGCAGCTTAAAGCACCCCACTAGGAAATGTTGCACTTAAATTCTACTGAAATACAGGTCTAGGAGAGCCACACCATCAGGAAAATATCTCGCATCTTTTCCTAGCAGTTTGCAGTCACCCAGCCGACTCGAGAGATACCTCAGAGTACCACAGAAATTACAAAGCTAGTAAAAGAACAAGGAAAATAGAGTAACAGAGATTACTGTAACCACAATATTCCTCTCTTCCTCCGCCCCCTTTATTCATCTGTAGATGTAAGAAATCAAACAGTTGGGTTTTGATGCTGCAGCTGTTACAGAAGCTCTTCCTGTGCGTGAATAAATTTTGTGAATCTTTTTAGTTCTACTTGTGCCCCTTCAGACACAAACCGCTTATCTGCAAATGCACACACTGAAAAATAAAGTTATTTTAGGGGCTATTCCCTAGTCCTCAGTGTTGCCTTTCTTTTACATGCCAAGATTTAACATTTGTTGAAAGAATATTTGCGAGGTATTTGAGGCTCCAAAAGCCCTACTGGCACTTACTGTCCGCTCCTGCCGAAGGCAGCGCCAAGCAGCACAGGATGACTGCCGGCACGGTGAACACTGGGACGCGGAGGTTCGGCACCATATTCCAAAGCAGAGCAAGTCCTCTTCCGTCTGAGGCAAGCGTTACACACACATCCAGCGTTACAGACACAGACTCAACCCTGTAAACAGAGAGGCAGAGGGAAAATAAAGGGAAATGATCAAATACAGCACATGGATTGACTGTTGATATCACAAAGTTCACTGTAGATACATAAACACAGGTAAGTCTGAAGTGAAATTTAACCATGTTCCCTAGTTGAGCAGCATGGCACCACCCTAACACTCCCACCTCGATGCCACGAGCACCCCATCACCTCCAGTTAGTCTTTATGCCCAGTCTCTATCATGGCACATAAACAAACCCATCAGTAGTTCTCACTTGTGTGCTGGTACAACAGATAGCTCTGAAGTTGCACGCAACCAGAAACACAGACTTAAGCTCACGTAACCCTCCATCCATCTGCCCAAGACAGTGCATACTGAGAGCATAGGAGCAGTCTTTGCAATAGGTTCAACTTGTGCATCTGCTTGAATATAGAAATACAGAAAATTCCTTGAAATTCAACTAGAAAGAAAAGTATTTTGAAGGAATGTAATTCCCATGTATTTCCTCTTTTATCTTTTCTCTATTTTACTTATTTTACTTGAAGGTACCCGCTTGTCTACAATTTGTCTTTTAAGACAGATTTTGAAGGATGGGGGCTCAGTCTTTCAACGCTGGGCATCTCAATGCAAGCTCAGGAATCTTTCAAGAGGTGATAAGGCTTTCCTTAGCTAAGCTGCAAATGAAAGCTGCCAACAAAGCATTAAGAGTAAAAATAAAAAACATAAAACCTCACAGTGGCAGGTATTAGCCTGAAACTCAGTGACAGCCAGCAGGGCGATGGAGAAAAGGCTCCAGACCTAAAGCTTTCCTGAGACTGCAGCAGTGCCTTGGTGAAACGAGGTGTCTAGTGCTGTACACACAAGTAACACACCTGTGGGTCCTGTGAGCATCCTTGAAGCAAAGTACCTGCGAGTGCTCTCTGTGCACAGCGTGACCCACTGCACCGCTCTTGCTCACAGACATTTCAAAAGGATGCTTAAGATGGCTCACAGAAAGGTGTGTTTGTTACCTATGGGATTTTGGAAGATGAAGTGCCTCACTTTTGGAGGGAGGGGGGAAGGAACAAAGCCTTTAATGGAGGTAAGTCTTCTACATTATGAATATGTTCACTTCTGACAAAAACAAAATGTTCAAAAAAATGCTCGCTATGGCAATGCTCAGGAAAATCCGCAGGAAATCTCAGGAGAATCCATCTAGGCAAATATTTACATTGCATCATACTAACAAACAGCAGATCACAATTTTTCCACGCTCTGTTACTATACTTGCACAGTAAATCTTTTCACGCGTTATAATATCACACAATACGAAGAAATCTTTATTTATGCAATGTCTTCCACAGCCAAGACATTTGAAAATACTTCACAAAATAACCTAGTTCAAGCCTAGATGCTGAGAGAATACTGATCACCTCATCCTGCTTTTATTATCTCAATGAAAAAAATAAATCCAAGTAAGCTCGGCAGCAAGATTTTGCATGCTGAAAGAAAGGCTCTTCATATCAGCCACACATTCAGGTCTCTTTGTTGATCTCCAGCCTCCAAATCCTCATTTGTCTCTCGCCAAAGAATTACTAAAAGCACCATTAACATGTCTAACACTGCCGAGACAGCTACAGATAGCTGTATCTTTACAGCAGCATCAATTCTTTTCCAAAGGGAAGCTCGATTCCATCTTAAAGCAGTTTCTCCAGTGTTAGCCAGCTCTCCAAACACAGCACACGAGGGAATGAGAAGTGCCTGGATTAAGAGTGAAGATTAAGTCTCTAAATTCTATGTGTATGGTGATAATTTGTGCAGTCCAGAAAAACAAACCCACTGAAGCACACGTTAAGCACCATTACAGCTGACTCCACAGCAGCCAGAATTTTAAGAGGCTACTCTTCTTGGGGGAAAAAAACCCACTGAGGGTTAGAATTACTGTGTCAAAACTAATGATGTGTGTCAAACTCTCTCAGATTAGGAAAGAGAACAAGTTTTGCAGGTGGTGTTGAAAACATCTTAGGTATGTATCAGACCACACCAAGGAAGAAGAGCTTTCAGAGAGCTTTTCCTCCTTCATTGACTTCCATTAACAACAAAAGCGCCTGATCTAATGGTGTATCTTGAGTGCAGATTGCTCAGAAGTCATGTGAATGGCACCTCCACGGCCCTCATTCTGTAGCAACTCTCAGGAACACAAAAACCTCAGCTAAAGAATAGGTCTGTCTCTTGATTTCTGTCTCCTTTCAGCAAATGAATTCAAGTTCTCTTCGGTTTCAGGCTTGACGGATTTATAACCTGCCTCTCGAGCCCATGAGATACATACAACTTGCACCATGCAAAACTGATGAATTGTCAGTTACTCTACCAGATGCTTTATAGACTTGATCTTTTTGCAACTGTTTAGTGCTCTATAATAATTTACCATCTGGAAGATAAGCCACACTTTCCTATGCAAGACTGCTGTAAGAGCACCTTTGGCCCTCAACAGGAAGACTCTTCTCCACTCACTCTTCTACCTTTGCTCAGCATATAGAAAAGTTGACTGCATACAATATTTAAAGCTCTTTAAATTGGAACGGTTTAAATTTTTATAAAACTGAGCAACTGTCAATCTCTCTTGAAGCTGGAAACATGACAAAGATTCTCCAGGCGGTTCAGCCCTCCCCCTGCCAGAAGCCACTTGCTCTCCCCCCTACAAAACAACCCAATATCCAAAGCCCAAGGGCAGCTGAAGCAAAATTAACCTTTAGGAGGCCAATGTTACTCTCAGAGTTACAAGCAGCACCCTTGAATCAAAACTACAGCTTTTTGGGGGTTAAAAGAAAAAAAAAAAAGTTTCCCGAAGTAGAAAGGCAGCATAAGTGAATTAGCTAGAAATCAAGTGAGGAAGACTTTGGTAACAAGCTAAATAGATTATACAGACAAGCAAGTAATGCTCTTAATACCCTCACTGATCCATTTGCCCGCACAACCTAATGCCTCTTCAAGCTGCTGCCTCTTGCATCTGGACTCATCTCCCATGACCTCAAGTTCCTTCCTTTAAACCCTCATTTAATCTCACTGCTTTGGCTAGCATCCTGCTACAAATATTGCATCTGGGAGCCCTGCTACTGTTCAGAAAGGTCTTTCAAAAACACATGTACGTTCTCATTGCCACTTCTGCATCTGGTCCTGGCAATATTCTAAACTGTAGCCCACGTAACCCTAAAGGAGGATGAGGTTAAGCATGCCAGATGGCTCTGGAAAAACAACTCTGAGTCTAGCAACTAAATCTTTCCTCTTCTCCATACTCAATGTTAGAATTATGAAGTGCTAACTTGGCAGAAAACTAAAAAGCTGGAAAGCACCAAAAAAAAAAAAAATTATATATAGCCTATTTTGCCGTGGGGCAGGTGGATGCAAAAGAGGAGGTCTTGAGAACATCTTTGAAACCTGTATGGTTTGATTCTTTCAGACAAGCAGAAAAAGCTGGACTCATTTAAAACGGAGCCAAGAATACCAACAGCTTGTATGGTACGAGGAAATTCTGGCAATGAGTATGTCCCACAGGAGGCTGCAAAGAGATTACAAAAAGCAGTCAACTTTCGAAAGTCAAGAGGAACCACAAGCCGACACTGAGTAGCTCATGCCCTCTCCGAACTCCTCTGGAAGACACACTGAGTGAGAAAGTGTCACCTGGGTCACTACCCAGAAATGACACACTGAAAAGAGCACCCCCAAGATAAACAAATCCATTCCAAAGTACAGACAAAAAATTTGCACTGAAGTTATTATTTTTAACAAGTTTAACTTAGGTAGGGACAGGTGTACCCAAGTATCTAACAAGCTAGCACGGTGTTCCCTACAGAAATTCCCATACAGCCAAGGCATAGCCAGGATCAGTTTTGTGCGCGAGTGCCGACACCCTCATTGTGCAGAAGTGCAGCAGGATTCGGTCTAGAAGCTCTCAGGCCAGCAAAGCAAGCCCAGTGTAAGCCAGGTCTGTATCTCACCTGGCAGCAACACACCACCCTCTCCTAAAGGAAACTGAAGCAATTGTGTTTGCTTATGAAGGTGGAAATTTAGGTATTCTTGACTCCAAGATGCAGATCAGAAGATATCAGGTGGAAGCCCTTCAAGTGCTAGAGAAAAAGGGCCTAAAACGCCACTAGATTTTCCCAGCTCTACCATATGCAACCTAAAAAGAAGAATAATTTTCTGTCTGGACCCATAACCTTATGTTCTACCCAAAGACAAGGAGATGGCGTGCTCCAGAAGGACCCGACCACCACAATACTTTGGGGTGTCATATGAGCCATGTTAATTAAAAACTGACCAAGCAAGGAGGGGGCACATAGCTACCACATTTTCTGTGCGACATTTGTTCTATTAAAAATGAGAACAATAATCGGTTACAGCTCAGCTGCTGCATTCAGGATGCAACTTCTCATCTGAGCTCTGAATGAGCAAGGGAAAAACCATGAGGCACCGTATAATTCAAGAATATCATCTTGCACACATTAAAAGTTGCAGCAGCAGTTACACAGGCAGTTAACGACTTTTGAATGTTTCACTTCACAACATCAGTATTCTTTTAGCATAGATTTCTTTTTTCTTCCTTTCTTTTTTTTTCTTTTTTCAAGAAATATAATATAAAGAGACTCAGGGAGCACAGTAATGTGGCCCAGAAAGGCAAAATGAGTCTCACTTCACTCGAAACTCCCACACGCAGGGAACATATTAAGAGAGTGGAGTATTTAGAAGGCAGCAACACCAAGGCAGATTTAGGAAGGAATTTTATATGAACCTGCAATTATGTAAAATGGCCAAAAGCGAACGTGACTGTTGCACCAGGCAAAAGTATCACCTCAAGGACCCAGGTGCAAACAGGCCCAGGGCATCAGTTTGAAGAATCTCCAACCATCTGGAGAAAAGGGATGAGCAAAGCGATTCAGAACTGGAAAGGATAAATATCTCTGTCAAGTCACAAGCGCTAGACAGACTGGCTGAGCAAGATGGGGATTTGATAACCATCTGTAAGCACAAGAAGGATACAAACACCAAGAAAGGAGTGGAGGAGTATAATTAGCCATGGGCACATAACTGTGAGTAATGGAATGAGAGAGCAAAGGAAAGTTTATGGTGAATATTTCCAGTAAACTTTCCAAAAAGAAAACAGAAGAGAGAAGTGAACCCAGCAGGAAAATGTTCCATTATCTGAACTGATGAAGATTAAAAACGTGGAAATGGAAACACACACACACTCTCTAGGAAAAATCTCTTGAATACAGACAGATGGGGTGGGAAAATGCACATAACAGCAGTGAATAATGAAGTTGTACTTTAAAATGATTCTCCTCCCTTATTTAGGCAAAACCTTTTTTTTTTTTTCCTTGAAGTGTGAAGACTTTGGTAGCAAGCTGGCCCAGCTGTAGATGTCTGTGATCCCAAACACACAAACACAACCTTGATCCGAGGAGCGGAGCAGAGCGAAAGACAAGCGTTTAGGCAGGATGCAAGCACAGCTTGGATACTGCTGTCTGCCTAATTGGCCACGTTTGCTTCTGAAGACATTAATTTCTAAAGGTGTCACTGCCTGCAGGCAAAGAGACAGTCTTGGATAAAAAGGAGGATTTTTTTTTTTTTTTACTACTGGAACAAGGATTATGAAGGGCCCTGTTAAATAACTACAGTGATAAGTCGTACCATTCACTTAAAATATAGATCAGCCTTGGGCCTTACAAGCCCAGCCATCATTCACATTGAACACTAAATACAGATCGCTGTAGATCATCCTATCTAAGCACATAGGTTCTTAATGCCTGCTGTAAAGTCTCCTAAAAAGAAGTAAACTATTACATGCATATCACCCTTCCAACTGAGGTCTTTATTACTTTTATAGGAATAAGCCCAGCGGTGCAGTCAGATGCATGAACAACCAGGAAAGTAAAATATCCTACAAAATTAAAAAGAAACTCAGCTATTCCATAACTATCAGTGAACTGGTGCATCAGCCACTCTCACAAAGATTTCTGCACTACTACTACAAATTACTAAACAAATTATATTCTTAAAATAAATAACCATACAATTTCAGGGTTACATTCAGCACAACACAAAATGGTATAACGTAAAATCACAAGGTACCAGATCTTCTCCTCTGAACATCAGCTCCTCAGCATTCAGCTTTGGACACCGAAAATGTAGAATTGAAGACTTTAAAATACAGGGACAGATGGAAAATGCAACTTTTGGGCCTTGCTGCTCACAGCACAGTACAGCTGAGCGCTAGTTACTGGGCAAGTGTGGTGCCTCTAGTCCTGCACCAGGCTTCAGCAATGCCAGACCCATGGGGCCCATGACTCTCAGGCTGGCACAAGCAGCCAAAGCAGATCAGACATAAGGTCTGGCGAACATGAGCTCTATTTTAACCAAAACAGCAAAAAATGCAAGTGATTTATCAGGTAAGTGATAATCTATCCTTCCTTTACTTCAAGAATTTGCACGGTGCCTCTTGGCTTGAGAGCAAATTAAACCGTACGAATAATCCCTGAAGCCCCTTATGTCTCCCTAGCCTGCTGTTAGAGCTCATTTCCCCTGCTCTTTCTTCCCAGCAGTTCCCTTGTTCAAGGCCCCATCACTCGGTGCAGCCCACGCCAGTCTCCTTGCAGAGACGGGTGAGCAGGGTCACACCGGCAACGTCGCGGGGACCTTCCTGTACACGCGTCAGCTCGTCCCCAACAGGCCCTTGCCATTGGAAAACTCTGCTCTGCTAAGGGAGAGTGAAGTATATATATTACTGGAATCCCAAAATGAGTTAATCAGTTTAGAGATCTCTTTTCAAAATAGTTTACTACAAGAGAAAATTAATCTTAAGTTTTCATTTTTTCTTTCCTATCACTTCCTTATTTATAATAATGCTTTTCCTCCAGTCCCATGTCTATTCAGCTTTTTTAGCGTCCTCAATGTAGATATTTTTCTGAGACCTTGCAGAATACGAACAAAATTTAAGCCTGTTCCCTGTCTGTTTCTTGAACATCTAAATATCTCAAGCAACTATTGAAACAGTTTTCCTTTGCCATTACAGTTGGACTCTATGACCAAGTGATCTTCCAAGTATTTTTTTCTCTTACTGATTACTGATTCAACCTGTGTACAAGCAATATAGGTGAAGAACTTTCTTCCAGAAAAGTATCTCTTCTTTAATGAAAAATCTCTTACTTCTGCTGGAAGTTCAGCTGTGTTTTATACATACAACGTATTATTGGGGTCTGCTCACTTACTGCTTTTCAGATTAATAGCTTATTCCAAAGCTGCCTTTGAGAGGACCTCAATTTCAGAAACTTGCTTATCTTTATCATTTAGACAGACTGGGTATAGTGCTAGGTCTTCCACAATATTTTTAGCAGTTAAAAATTGATGCAAATGAATCATTTCCCTTTTTAGCAGTATCCTTTTCTTCCTTAATTGCTGTCTTTAACCTCCCATCATCCATTAAACCCAGTTTTCGCACAAGACAATGGCTTCTGATTTGCTTAAATAATTTATCTTCTTTGTAGAGACATTAGATCTTCAAAGCCCACCTTGGATCTTTCAGTATTCCTTTTATACTTGTTATGCTTCATCTTTTCTACCACCATCTAGATGCTATGTGGGAGCTGCGTTTCCAAGCTTTGACCCTCCAAACAACTTGAACCCTGCAGATTTGGGCAACACTACCCCTCTGACAAGTGCCCAGGTGAGACACAGATTAACACTAGGCCACAACTTGTGTCCTGGCTGATTTTAAGCTGGTCTCTGCAGCTCCTGCCAGCAACGAAAACCTCTGCCCTGATCTCTCAGTCACTGCCACGTGTCCTGGCTGGGTGAACGGGACCTGGTGGTCATGCTTCTCCACAGGTCCACCAAGTAGAACGGTGAATTCAAAGCATCGTTGCCACCCCCTTTCTCGACGTGCTTTCCAGCACTGCCAGCACAGCATCGCTACGCCGGCCGGGATCCGAGTCTCGCTCGGGCTGGATCCCGCCCGCGACAGCGGCCTCCACCAAGCGGCTCCGAGGACACGGGAAGCAGCGGCAGCCCCGAGCTGCCCACGGGGAAGCTGCTTGCGAGAGCTGCCATTTAGTCCACAACTTACACCCTACCAGAGAGTTTATATCTCCAATTAAACTTTCCATAATTCCCATCTAGTGAAACTATGAACATTGTTGACGTTATTTTGGAGTCACTCCTTCTTAAAAGGTTTTTATGTCAATTATATCATGCTGGATATTCCTGTCTCAACCACGGGCCCTTCTTGAACCCCATTATTGTGTCTCACGGAGGCTAAAGGGAGCATGCGAATAGCGACCGCCCCGGTGCGCTCCGGAGGCAGCCTTTCCAAGACGCTGCTTCTCCAACCTTTGCCCCAGCGCTCCGCGCGCTCGCTGCACACGCAGCCAGTTGCCGCAGCCTGTTAGGGTAAATGGGCTTGCTGGCTTTATGAAGCTGAATCCTCCGCGCGCGGACGCCCTCGGCATCCTGCGCTGCTCCGGCTCCCGAGGCCCGGGGCGGTTACCAGGGCACCCACGGATCAGCTTCCCAATTAAGTAGGAACTATGAAAGCACAAGGTCCACACAGTCAGCCTCCATGCACTGCATGGAAAATGAAAACTGCTTCTGCAGCCTCTAAAAAAGGTGAGATGCCAAGCTTACCATAATAAAATACTCTCTCTATATATGTATATATGTATATATACATATATTTTTTTTTCTTACTCTGTCCCCTTTGTTTTGTTCCAACAGAGGAAAATGCCTCTGAGGCAGTACAGTCCTCATAGCACCAAGCCATATC